TTCGTTGAAATCTCAAAATAATACATCGTATTCATCCTGCAATTTGACAAGGTTCACATTTAGGCGAGCTTAATATTTTCCTTATTGATAAAAAGATTAAGAAGATATGAGCACTTAAACTTTAGTCATAAGTTATTTAATTCTGTCTTCTAAAAGTTTATCTACTTACTCTTAATTATCTTGGAGATTATTAAGTTTGATGGAAGCAGAAGGCTCTTTAAAAAAGAAATATCGTGGATCTCTAGAATTAATTTCACTCCTATCCCAATTATGTTAAACAAGTTTTTTGAGCTTACTCCTATATCTTCTAACAGTTTAGACAACTGATATGCTATTATTAGTATCTTAACAAGTGATAAATTCGCTATTTTGGAAATGTTTAGCTTAATTACTTGGTTTAATTTTCTCTTAGCTATTATAGACTGACACCGACATAATCTTATTCCTATGTCTAATTGGTGAAGGATCATAATGATCAAAAACATTCTACTGTATTGTTTCTTTGCTTTTAGTTTTAATTCAAATGGATTCTTAGCTCAGATTAAATTTATATTCTCTTGGCTATAATTTTAATGCAGGCAATCTAAAAGAGTTATCTTAAGCTTTCATATAAATAGTTTTAATATTTATTATTTTAATATTTCATTAAAATTTAATATGAGAAATGAATCACAAAAAATTATCATATATTTATACTATAAAAATTATTTTAAATTCATTTATTTTGCACCTTCGGATGCTTTTCTGCTTATTACAATAAGTCCTCAACATCTTTCTAAGAATTACAATAAATATATACAGTTTATTAATCCAAATATAACAAGCATTCGCTTAAATTATTGACAATCTGATCCCATTCAGATTCCTCTTTTTCAAGTCCTAGTATTTTTTCCTATATCTTGACTACGTAATTGATTTTACGTTCCAAAACATCCAAGTCCTTACCAAATTATTTTATGGAATCAATGAGTGATTCTTCATCTATATCTATAAATTCATTAATAACAAATAATACCAAAAGAAGTATCCTATTAAGTGAGTTAATCAACTAGAGCAACTAATTAAGCAAGTGTTTCATCTTACTTTTTGCTGATATTCAGAAAAACTTTATTCCACTCATTATAATAATTTTCAACTTTTTACGTGTGATTTCTTCTATCTCCCTTCACTAGAGTTCTCTATACTTGTTATTATGGATTTGGATTTCCAATAGTAAGTTGTTATTGCTATTATTGTTAAATGTTTTTTAATGAGTTTTTTTCTATAAGTTGTAAATTTTTTTAATTTTTATCAATCTTTTCTTTGTTTGCTATTGCTTTGGTCAAATTTTCTATGTGTAATTTGGTTTGTTAATTGATTTAATTTAATGTGTAGTTTTTAGGCTAAGCTGGTTATTATTAAGTAGTGGGTTATGCTATTGTTGTTTATTGACCTTAGGCTAATGGTTATTATTATTAAGGTTAACCAAACATATTGGTTTGCTAGGTCTGTCCTAATTATGTTGCTTATTATTATGGCTGTCCTAATAATGAATTTGGTTGTTGCTATCCTGCTAAGGGTGGTTATTGCTGTTGTCCTAATACATTAGTTTATTATTATTAAGGCTATCCAAATATAGCAGTGGACTAAGTGGTATTACCAAAAATACTCGACTATTAAGGTTATCCCAGAATTCCTTATGGTTGTTATTACCCTAACGGATTTTGAGGCTGACCAAATAAGTTGTTTGAAGGTACAGGATTGTTAAAAATTGAAGGAGCTGAATTCCCTTATTATTATCCTTGCGCATTATTTGCGCCATTCATGTTTGGAAACATTATTAATTTAAATTTTAGTAAAAAATAAAGAAAAACTTATTTAATTAAAAATGTATAAGTCAGAAATTCTTATCTAACACTGCTAATTTAAATAAATATTGTTATTATTAGTTTAATTGTTCATAATAGAGACTATAATCATCTAAATTTTAGACGATTATAATAATCCAAACTTAAACTTCTGAATTCGTGGCTACATTTAAAATACAATTTACGAAGTATTGTACTTTTTACTTAATTTTTAAACAAACTAATCATTTGATATTCTAATCTATCTTTAATATTAAAATGTTAAAATAATATACAAGAAAATTACAATGCAATCAATTCTCTTACAGTTCTGATTTTGCTTTAACCAAATCCAAGTAAAGTAATTAAATTCCTTCCTCATTGAACTCAGATTAAAAGAATACTTCCAAAATGTTTTGAAATTTCACAAATATTTTCTTATTCTCTTACACATTAACAATTTATTCTATAACTTCCAATATCTAATCTGAATTCAATTTCTTATTTTACTCATTTCCCTTTATCTTCTTAAATTCCAAATTTATTAATTCTAGAAAGCTTATAATTTCATCGATTTGATCGTAATTCATATCTTATAGAATTATCATTTTTTATTTCTTATTTTATTTCTCATAGTTCTCCTCTATCATTTACTTATTTAATTTTTTATCTTAATGTAGAAGTTACTACTTTAACAATAAGTTCTAAACTAACAACGTAGATATTTATTCTTAAGTATAAGCAAATTTCTTTAATTTGATTAAGATAGAATCAATTGCTGTATTTTTGCTTATTGTTATATTTATTACTTAATAATCGATTGGACCCTTAATTAAAACCCAATTTTCATCAACTTTGACATCTAAGGAATTTGTTAATCCTCCCTAAAACGCAATTGTAATTTTTGAATTCATCTTTAAACTCTTAACATATAGTGAGCTCAAAAAAACTCCCTAACTAAATGAAACTGTGCCATTTTTATCAGCTGTTTCAATATATACATTTTTAGAGGATGTCTTTGCATATTAAACTGCTTATTTAGGAATATAGAGGTCTTTGAAATAAATGAATAGAGATCCATTACTATCTTTAAATGTATCGTTTTCATTATGTAAACTATAGATCTCCCTCTCTTGTAATTCAACATAGTATTTATGTTAAATCAATTTTTTTTCATTTTCCAAGATTAATTAATCGAAATCCATCAATACGGACAAAAATTCTTCATTAATATCATAAAGTCCAATTTCTTTTGTTATCTAATTAATCACTCCTTAATAATATTGGTGATATTCTGAATCTGATTCTATTAAGCCTAGGAATAAATCAGCCTTCCTATTATTCAATATTTACTTCTTCATCAATGTATTCCTTCATTTATAATTCTTATAAAGAATTCTACTATTACTAGATTTTACATGGTAAACCAAAAATGGATTTGCAATTTTTATACAAAATGCTTTTATCATAAGTGTATTTTAGGCTTTTTTCGACCATTTTGAGACCTTCAAGAATTGATTGACAATAGATAGTTGTGATGAAAAATATTAGCATATAATTATTTATAATATTAATTATAAAATTCTGATTCTCGATATTGATTAATTTTCATACTCCTGTATGAGGGGAGATTTTGAAATAAATTATTATAGTTAAAGTACTTAATGGAATTAATTAATTAACTTAAAATTCTATAAATAATGTAATGATTAAGATTTTAATAGTGAATATTTTTAAAGGATTCTAAATTTTGAATGTTCGATACATTAATAATATATTAAATATTTATATAAACATAAATGATATTGGAATTGAATTCATTTTTTGACTATCCCGAAAATTAAGGAAAATCCACCAAAATATGGTAACCTGTTGATTTAGAAATATATAATGTAATATAAATTTAGTAAACGTTATTAAGAATGACATCATCGTTTTTTAAGAAGACTGCCGCAAAATCAGTAAAAAATAGAAACAACTAAAATTGATTACAATCTAATTAGGAAACGAACATTTATATTATATTAAAGACTAAACCATATCTTAGCTTAATATAATAGTGGCTATAATGACAATTTATAAGCATGATGAATTTGGTAATATCATAAGAATTTCTCGAAATGGCAAATTTGTTGATTTATAATTTGATGAATATGTTGTATTTAAGAATATGATGGCATCAAGATGTTTATAAACAACTTTTCATGATGAATTTGGAGTTACAAAGATGATAGGAAAAGGAAGTTTTGCGAAGGTATATTTTGCAACAAAGAAATCTACAGGAGGCAATTATGCAGTTAAAGCATTCAACAAAGAATTTATGCAAGAGTAATTTAAAGGAAGAGAATCATTAGAAAATGAAATCAAAGTGATGAGAAGATTAAATTAAGAAAATCTAGTTAGATTACATGAAACCTATGAAACCCAAAATTCAATCTATTTTATATTGGATATATTAAAAGGAGGTGAATTATTAGCGAGAGTCAAATAATAACCATTGAGCGCTCCAAGTTTGTAAAAGTTAATGTACAATTTGATGAAAGCGCTTTGTCATTTGCATTCAAAAAAATGCATGCATAGAGACTTAAAACCAGAAAATTTATTATTAAAAGAGAAAGATAATGACACAGATATTGTTATAGCTGATTTTGGATTAGCTTGTTTCCTAAATGAGGACATCTTATTTAAAAGATGTGGAACTCCAGGATTTGTTGCTCCAGAAATATTATTATATAAAGAAGGAGATCCATTTTATGATGAAAAATGTGATGTATTTAGTGCTGGTGTTATCTTTTATGTTTTATTAACAGGAAGATAACCATTTTAAGGAACTGATTATAAAGGAATTCTTAGAGCAAATAAAAATTGCGAAATTAATTACGAATTAAAATAGATTCTAGCTGTATAATATATTAAGATAACTAATATAGGCACCAATATAATTAGTAGATTTATTGAAGAAAATGTTGTGCCCTGATCCAAAAATTAGAGTTTCCTCTGAAGAATGCCTTAAACATCCTTATTTTAAGGAAATTTTCAAGGAATAAGATCTAATAGATGTTTAAGAAAGTCTCAGGGATTATGATAAAGATTTTGTTTATTTATTAGGCAAATAATAAGGGTAATGGATTGATTAACAGATAGTCCACCAAGTTAAGTTGGTTCGATGCAATTATAATAAAGATAACCTGCTTTGAATGGTAGAATTGACACTATGGGTTCTTTTTCTAATGTATCTAATAATGGATCAGTTACAAGATTAGATTAGAAACCATAATTACAACATAGTAAATTTAGTTAATTCGGACAAGCAAATAAATAATAACCTTAATCAGATGCAAGTATGTTAAATCGAATATATAGACTCACCTGCAATGAGGAAGAATTTGTAATCAGATTTGCGTAAAACAGCCCTAAAGAATTCATTTTAATAATAAATCAATTAATTAAGTAAAGATGATGACTGTGTAAATGATGAAGCTGCTCACTTAGAAGATGCTATATCAAAATTAAATTCTTAGACACCAAAAATGGGAGGATTAAAAAAAGCAAATTCATTTAAAATACCAAAATCATCAATGGAATGAGATATACTATAATCATTAATCCTGTTTGCCTGAAAATATTCTATTTATCATCTTCAATTATTGTTTAGTTTATAAAAATGATACAGGTTAACCAATAGTGGGTAACTTTGTTTAAGTTCCTCTTAGTTATTGTTTATTAATTGTTTGTTTCAATTACAACTACTACATACATTATTACTTTGGGCATTCGATATCTTTGACAAAGTTGCTCATTGTTTCTCTTTTACTTTACCCACTATGAATTCTAAATACTTATCTGAATCCTTGGCTAGAGTTTCTTTATTAGAAGATATCAGGTAGCTTCTTTGATTATTTGAAGGGAGGACTTTAATGTTCGTCATTCAACTGTAAGAATTCATTCATGAACTTAAATTAATCCCCAAAACTAAATTATTAGGGGTAACTAGAGCGTTGATTTACATTAGAACTAAATATTCGATAATTGTTAGATTTTCTATCCTCTGAATTTGTATGCAATTCTGATCTTTTTCTCATTCCACATATTTATGGAGGAGTATGTTACGCTTCAACTCCAGAATTATCAGAACTTCTCTTGGATGTAGTTCTTAAATTTGATTAATTCATTAATACATCTGGGTTGAGGGATTTGAAACATTTCTCTGAACAGGATGCTTCAACAATCGTCTTGTATGAACAAATTTCTGTTTCATGCCTTAATTATCAACAGGGAAGAAAAAGTTTGCTGTCTTTTCTAACTCATCATTCATCTTTATCTATAAAAACTTTCTTAATGCTTAATATATTTTAATTATTATTAAATATGATATTCTTATTCTTTCCATTTTTATCTGCACAATTACTTTATCCCTACCCTTAAATTCAATCTACTGACACACTAGAACTCATCCAAACTATCACCTAGTAACAACAATGCACACATTTATATCAACATTCAAATCATCAAAATATCCATACAGAGTATATCCATTCTAATAATTATCAAGATTATTAATTTAAGCTATCCTCAACTAATGGATTAAATGTGCCAAAATTGCTATTCAATATTATAATCACTAACAATTTGATTTATACCCAACATTCTAAAATATTAAACTAAACCACATTAATAAACTCAATTAAACATTATTTGAATAATTGACGAAGCTTTTACCACCACATTCTCCTTTTTTAAATGTATTAGAGCCATCTTATTTGTGGGCATAAAATATGACACATGTGTTTTTAAAAATCAAATTCACTACCAAAATTGATGTTCCTGGAGCATAAACCATCAATAATTTTCAAATTAATATAACTGAACCCTCCTTATACATAGAAGCATACTCATTTGAATTACTCAATCGATATGTTTTAAGAATTCAAACTTATAAATTTATGAATCCAAATTATTTTCATTATAAATTTGTTGAATTAGGTCAAGTGATTATTGAAATCCTAAAGAGTCCTTCTCCTTATTTTTGGAAAAATATCCATTCAAATATCATGTACAATCCCCCAAATCAATATATTTGGTGGGATATGTATTATTAATATCGAGGGTAATTAGAAGTGGCATTTGGATTATTAGAAGATACTGAAAATAAAAGAGAAGAATTGGAAAGACAAAAGCTATCAGAAGACCTAAAGATGAGAGAAAGCAAAAAATAATATAAAAAAATAAAAGAGGACAATTAAGAGTTATATAAATAATTACATTGTAGGTATTGCGCTCCTTTAAATGGCGATGAATGGTCAAGTTGGAATATTTGATCAAATATTATTATATAAATAATATTCATTATTTTGGTATTTAATCAAAACTAATTATAGATGTTAACCAATATCAATTATGATTAAAGTAACATTTGGATGCTCTTTTTACCATTTGCTCTAAAAATGGAGTTAGTCTTTTGCATGGTCCACACCATCTAAATTATTATCATTAAAATTAAGTTGCGTAAAAATCAACAATGCCTGGCTTGCTACACTTAATTTACAATTTGATTAACTTATTTACTCTTTAAAATACATAGGTTCCAAAATATTACCATGGAATTTAAATATTATTTATTAAATGCAAAAACTAATCCAACTATGGCTTTAATAACATTCTATTCCCAATTTGTGAAATTTTAAAGACCACCAAAGCTTTTAATTAACTTGTTTAATTTCAAAAAAAATCAAATTTACTACCACTAATGATTATAAATAAAGTAATATTTTATCTTTCCTACTTTTGAATTATTATGCTTAAACAGATATAATTAAATAAATTTATTTTCGAATTTCAAACAATTATGAAAATATAATTATTCATTTTAATTTTGTTTTTGATTAATTACCTTCTATATGTTTTTATAATCAAAACTAAACATTCACAAGAAATAGAACTTAGGTATAAATCTATTTGATTAAATTTATAATTAACATTTTCATCTCTCTAATATTATAAAATTTGCCTATATTTTTGAGATTTTTATTATTTTGTTATATGAGCTAACTTCAGGCCATAATTTTCTTAATTTATATTATGTTAAATCTCAATTTCAATAATTACTTTCTTTCGGCGCTGGTTGATATTTTTTGATCATATAAAGCTAGATCATGACAATAATTTTCATTAATTCAGTAAAGCTAAATTTCATGATGTGCTTAAATACTACATACCTTTCAAAAATAGTTGATTTTTCTCAAATGCTTTATGAATTTTCATCAAAATCAAAACATAGGATAATACAATTAATATATATAATACATAAAAGAATAGAAATAAATGATAATTATATTTATGCTCAAGTAAGAATAAATTTTTAGAAATTGTAAAATAAAGACAAAAAATATAATTAATGTCAGAGATATTCATAATGAAAGTATAGACACTATTTCAGGAAGATTCTCAAAAACATAAGATTGCACATTTATTTTCTTAATGTAAGAAATCTTTAATTAATAAGTTGTTGGAAGCAAGTGCAATTTAGTGACATTTTATTATCGTGTAAAATCAGGTAATTCTTTTTTTCCAACTAAAATCCATTTTAAGAAGTTATGATAGGTAAAATGTAAAATTAAACAATTGAATAAAGAAACATTAAATAAAATCATATTCTAAGCTAAAGAATTGGAAATAGCATAAAGTTGTGTTTGTGATTTTTAATATTTATGATAAATTTATCTATTATTTACAATTATCAATAAATTTCATATCAAGATTAAATTAAAAGGGTTTATTTGTTTTGGATTTTATAAATTAATATATCTAATCAAATTTCAAATTTTATTTTTCCAGCTTTTATCAAATCGCTAAAATAGTAGATTGAAAAGTCTAAATGAGAACAATAACTCTATTCTCAAAGACTTGTTCGAAAATTACTCATAGTATTTTAATGCTATAATTAAATTTTTTGCTAATTCACAATTTTTCTAAATTATTTTTACAATTTTAAATATATATTCATAATTGATGTTCCTCACTCAAAGGATAATTCAAGTTTTTTGGCATTTTTAACAAGTTTTTGTATTTTCAGAAGTTTTTCTATTTTCTTCAATTATTATGTATCATTAAATCTACCTAATCATTTGTTCTTCTTAAATATCTCAATCATTTATTAAGTAAATAGATGTATCTAATTTTTGGATTGCCCCAGGTTAGAGACAATATCATCTTGAAATTAAATACAATCCTCTTAAAACCTAAAATTGAGAAATAGTTAATGATTTGGTTCGAAAGATTTTCATATATTAATTGCACAAGCCTTACTTGATAGATTGTGATTTGAGAACCTAAGGATATATTATTTATTAAGATCGTTTTGCTAGGAATATTTTCTTAGTCATTAATGCGATGATTCATGCTAATAGTTCTATAACAAATTTTACTTAGCTTAGAGAATATTGGCCTTAATGAAAGTTTTAATAGAAACTGATTTCTATTTAGAGGAAGCATTGAACTTTATTTTTAAGCAGAGTATCTGATTTAATAACACTAAGTAAATCTATAATTAAAGAATGATTTCGGTAATCCGACACAACAACAAACAACCATTTTTTAATAATTGGTGAAAAATTGTCATGAATTTATATATTAAATATTGGTCAAAAATCATAACTTTTTCAAATGTATAAATTACAATTAATGTTTTGTTGTAATTTACAATAAAATCTCATTATTGAATTTTGCATTAAATAAAATTAATAATTCAAGATGACATGTTTATTGGCAAATTGGGATAGTTATGACAAACAAAAAATGTAATTCAGATTTTTATCTACTGTTTGTATTTAGATAATAAAATTAGAATTAAAATCGATTAATTAATGTAATAGTTCAGATGTTGTGTATCGATCTTATTTAGAATTTCAAGGCAATTTATTTGATGAATAATTTTTAAGTGGCCCTGACTTAATAAATAAAGATTTTCTTTATCATATTATCATCACATTTTTTTTGTATTTTGTATAATTGGAAAGAGGCTCTCATCCAGATTAAAATCATGATATGTTAATTATAATTCCTTAATATCTTCTAAAAATATATTCTCAAATTTCTAGAAATTCTAGATTTTTCATTCAGTAACCCATAAATAGAATTTTTACTTTCTCACCAAGATATTTCTATTCTTATTTATGCGAGAAAGCATTAATAATTTAATTTAATTTAAAATTGAGTATAGATTTAACTTTCCATTTATCTAGTTAATTTTTCTCCTTATCCTTATATTCACATGCTGCAAATAATGTCTCTGATAAATTCAAACTTATTGAACATTCTTGATTAGTATGAACATTTAAAGAATAAAGATAATGAAACTTATTCTTAGAAAAATCCACCTTCCAAATCATAATTGATTCATTCTTAATTCCAGCAATTAATTAATCTTCATTTTTAATATAATATAAACATTCTAAAAAATACTTTTGACCTTTAAATTGCTACACTGAATTTTCAAAATTGGGAATGTTATCTTTTAACCCTGATATCAAATTTCCGTATTTTTACGTTTGTGACATTAGTACGTCGTACATCACT